TATTTGGATAAGTCTAATTCTACCAGTATAAAATTTGTTTATTTTTAAAACTTAGAATTATAGCCTAATATTCTGGATTGCTATACAGTGTTTATAATATTTTTGTTTAAATCCCTAATAATTCATTGAGTAGATGTTACATTTTTTGGCTTATTTTCCTATTAATTAATAATAAGCTATTAAGTTTTGCTATTAGAGGCCACGTGCAGTGGCTCACCTGTAATCCCAGCACTTTATTTATTTTTTATTTTTTTATTTTTTTTGAGAGGGAGTCTAGCTCTGTCGCCCAGGCTGGAGTGCAGTGGCGCGATTTCCGCTCACTGCAAGCTCCGCCGCCTCCCGGGTTAACGCCATTCTCCTGCCTCAGCCTCCCGAGTAGCTGGGACTACAGGCGCCTGCTACCACACCCGGCTAATTTTTTTGTATTTTCAGTAGAGACAGGGTTTCACCGTGTTCGCCAGGATAGTCTCCATCTCCTGACCTCGTGATCCGCCCGCCTCGGCCTCCCAAAGTGCTGGGATTATAGGCGTGAGCCACCGCGCCCGGCCATCCCGGCACTTTAAGAGGCAGATGGATCACTCGAGCCCAGGACTTCCAGACCAGACCAGGCAACGTGTTGAAACCCCATTTCTACAAAAAATACAAAAATTCGTCCAGTGGGATGGTGCACGCCTGTAGTACCAGCTACTCAGGAGGCTGAGGTGGGAAGGATCCTTTCAGCCTGGGAGGTTGTTGAGGCTGCAGTGAGCCATGATTGTGCCACTGCATTCCAGCCTGGGCAACAGAGCAAGATTCTGTCTCAAAAAAATTAAAATGGAAAAATATTAAAGTTTTGCTGTTAGAAATAACTTATTACCCCTCTTTCCACATGTGCCTGTTTTGATTTCTGAAAGTATTTTAGGTTTTAAACTTTAATTTTGTTATAATTATAGGTTCACATACAGTTGTAATGAATAGTATAGGGAAACCAGGTGCAATGGCTCATGCCTGTAATCCCAGCACTTTGGGAGAATCACTTGAGCCCAGGAGTTCAAGATCAGGCTGGGCAACATAGCAAGACCCTGTCTCTATTTAAAAAAAAAACAAAAACAGGGAAATCATGTGTACCCTTTACTCTTCCCCACAATGGTTACAGCTTACAAAACTATAGTACACTACCACAACATGATATTAATATATTGAATACACTGATACAGAATAGTTCCATCACCACCCATCTGGAGCTGGCATTTTATAGCCACCCTCTCCCACTGTCCCGCTTTGGAAATCAGTGATCTGTTCTTCATTTCTGTAATCTTGTCATTTTAAGAATGTTATAAAAGCCAGATGCGGTGGCTCACGCCTGTAATCCCAGCACTTTGGGAGGCCGAGGCAGGTGGATCACCTGAGGTCAGGAGTTCAAGACCAGCCTGACCAATATTGTGAAACCCCGTCTCTACTAAAAATACAAAAATTAGCCGGGCTTGGTGTCAGGTGCCTGTAATTCTAGCTACTCAGAATACTGAGACAGGAGAATCGCTTGCACCAAGAGGGCAGAGGTTGCAGTGACCCGAGATCGTGCCATTGCACTCCAGCCTGGGTGACAGAGCAAGATTCCATCTCAAAAAAAAAAGAATGTTATAAGAGTGTTATATAAGAATGTCATATAAGAATGTTGTAAGGCCTGGTGTGGTGGCTCACACCTATAATTCCAGCACTTTGTGGGGCTGAGGCGGGAGGACTGCTGTGCCTGGGAGTGCCCAGGAGTTCAAGACCAGCCTGGGCAAAATAGCCAGACCTTATGTCTAAAAAAAAAAAAAAAGAAAAAGAAGAAAGCTGGCATAGTGGCACACGCCTGTAGTCTCAGCTACTCGGGAGGCTGAGGTGGGAGGATCACTTGAGCCCAGGAGTTTGAGACTGTAGTGAGCTATAATTGCCCCATTGTACTCAGCCTGGGCAACAGAGTGAGACCCTGTCTTAAAAAAAAAAAAAAAAGAATGTTATATAAATGGCATCATACACTATGTGATGTTTATTTTTATTTTTATTTTTTATCAGCCTACATCATGTTTTGATGTCCTACATGCTTTCTAGTTTTTGGTTTTTTTTTTTTGAGACAGGGTCTTGCTGTGTCACCCAGGCTGGAGTGCAGTAGCGCTATCACAGCTCATGGCAGCCTTGACCTGCCAGGCTTAAGTGATTCTCCCACCTCAGCCTCCTGAATAGCTGGGACTACAGGCGAGCACCACCACGCCCCGCAAATTTTTTTTTTTTTTGAGACGGAGTCTCACTGTGTCATCCAGGTTGGAGTGCAATGGCACCATCTCGGCTCACTGCAACCTCTGCCTCTTGGGTTCAAGTGATTCTCCTGCCTCAGCCTACCAAGTATCTGGGATTACAGGTGCCTGCCACTATGCCTGGCTAACATTTTTTTGTATTTTTAGTTGAGACGGGGTTTCGCCACGTTGGACAGGCTGGTCTCGAACTTCTGACCTCAAGTGATCCGCCCGCTTCGTCTTCCTAAAGTGCTGGGATTACAGGCATGAGCCACCGTGCCTGGCTGTATGTTTTATAGATGGGATTTCACCATGTTGCCCAGGCTGGCTACATGCTTTT